AGGCCAGACCTGCCAAGCTATCGGACCACGTGTTTCCCGAATCGGTTTGGAAAGCCTTCGGGGAACACGTGGGCATCTTGAAGGTCATCTTGGCCGTCTTGGAGGCCTCTTGGGCAAGCTTTGGGCGATCTTTGGGGCTTTTTGGGCCGTCTCGGGCCAGCTTCGAGCCAACTTCGAGCCATCTTGGTGGGTTCCTGGCACGTCCTGAGGCCGTCGCGAACCGTTTTGGCCGAGGGGCGCCTATAGGGCCACGACTCTTGGGGCCCTTGGGGCCCGATTGGAATGTTCCAGGGCTATTTTACCCAGGGCCGTTTTGGAGGCCATCTTGGGCGGTCTCCTGAGGCCATTTGGGCGTGTTGGTGCTCTCTTGGGCCCTCTTGGGGCCCTCTAGGGGCCATCTTGGAGGCCACTTGGGCCTTCAGGGGGCTCTCTTGGGGGCCTCTTGGGGGATCTTGGGGGCTTTTTGGGCCGTCTTGAGCCGTCGGAGAGCCGAAAAGGCGCAAATGCCAAAATCCTTCAAAAACCAAGGGAATAAGCAATGATTTTGGCCTCTTCGGACTCTCCGGGAGTACCTTTGGAGGCCTCTTGGGCCGTTCTGGGAGGCCTTGGGGGGACTCTTGGGGCCGTCTTGGCCGTCTTGGACTTCTTGGGCCGTTTTGGAGGCGTCTTGGACATATCGGGCGGACTTGGAGGCCAGCTTGGGCCATCTTCGCGGATTTTTGAGGATGTTCCCGAGAGGAAACGGCCGTTTTGGGGCATTCATGGGCAGCCGGATTTGGGAAATGCGCAGGTGGGCCGGCGGGGACGGGCCGAAGCCGATTGGGTGTAGTTATTTTAGAAAAAGAACCACACCAAAAACCTGAATCGCCAGCACGCCGTTGCCACCCCTGCAAGCAGGGGGGCGCGGAATCGAGACGCCTACGGCGAACCACCGCCGCCCCCTGCCTTTTTGGAAGCGCCTATGTGGCCGAAAGTTGAGGCCAGACCTGCCAAGCCATCGGACCATGTGTTCCCCGAATCGGTTTGGAAAGCCTTCGGGGAACACGTGGGCATCTTGAAGGTCATCTTGGCCGTCTTGGAGGCCTCTTGGGTAAGCTTTGGGCGATCTTTGGGGCTTTTTGGGCCGTCTCGGGCCAGCTTCGAGCCAACTTCGGCCATCTTGGTGGGTTCCTGGCACGTCTGAAGCCGTCGGAAGCCGTTTGGGGGGCCTCTATGGGCCGACTTGGGGCCCGCTTGGAATGCTCCAGGGCCGTCTTGGAGGCCATCTTGGGCGTCTTGGAGGCCATCTTGGGCGTTTTGGAGGCCTCTTGGGCCCTCTTGGGGCCCTCTAGGGGCCATCTTGGAGGCCACTTGGGCCATCAGGGGGCTCTCTTGGGGGCCTCTTGGGCGATCTTGGGGGCTTCTTGGGCCGTCTTGAGCCGTCGGAGAGCCGAAAAGGCGCAAATGCCAAAATCCTTCAAAAACCAATGGAAAATCAATGATTTTGGTCTCTTCGGACTCTCCTGGAGGACCTCTTGGAGGCCTCTTGGGCCGTCTGGGAGGCCTCTGGGGGGCCTCTTGGGCCGTCTTGGGCCGTCTTGGACTCTCTTGGGCCGTTTTGGAGGCCGTCTTGGACCAGCTCGGGCGGACTTGGAGGCCATCTTGGGCCATCTTCGCGATTTTTTGAGGATGTCCCGAGCGAAACGGCCGTTTTTGGGCATTGACAGATGGATTTTGGGAAATTCGCGGGTGGCCGGCGGGACGGGCCGAAGCCCACTGGGGAGTTCTTTTAGAAAAAGAACCAAAACCAAAACCTGAATCATCCAGCACGCCGTGCACCCCTGCAAGCAGGGGGCGGCGGATCGAAGACGCTACGGCGAATCACCCCCCGCCGCCACTGCCTTTTTGGAAGCGGCCTATGTGGCGAACGTGAGACCAGACCTGCAAGCTATCGGACCCGAGCATCATGGCCGTCTTGGGCCGTCGGAGAGCTGAAAAGAATAACATGCCAAAATCCTTGAAAAACCTTAGGAAAATCAATGATTTTAACCTATTCGGGCCTTCCTGGAGGGCGTCTTGGAGGGCTCTTGGGCCGTCTTGGAGGCCTTTTGCGGGCCTTTTGGGCCGTCTTAGACATCTTGAGGCCATCTTGGGCCGTCTTGGGTGCATCTTGGAGCCATCTTACCCGTCTTGGAGGCCATCTTGGCCGTCTTGGAAGCATCTGGAGGCCTGTTGGGCAATACTTGGCAGTAGTCTTGGAGCGCCATCTTGGGCCGTCTTGGAGGTCTTGGGCCGTTTGAGCCCTCTTGGGAGCCTTCTTGTGGAGCACCTGAGGGTTTCATGGGGACATCTTGGAGGCCTCCTCTTGGGTGCTGCTGGTGGGGCGATTGTTGGGGACATCTTGGGCCGTCGTTGGGCCGTCGGAGAGCTGAAAAGAACGAAACACGCCAAAATCTTGACAAAATCCTAAGGAACATCAATGATTTTAACCTATTCGGGCCTTCCAGGAGGGCGTCTTGGAGGGCTCTTGGGCCGTCTTGGAGGCCTTTTGCGGGCCTTTTGGGCCGTCTTAGACCATCTTGAGGCCATCTTGGGCCGTCTTGGGTGCATCTTGGAGCCATCTTACCCGTCTTGGAGGCCATCGTGGCCGTCTTGGAGGCATCTTGGAGGCCATCTTGGGCCATCTTGGCCGTCTTGGAGGCCAGCTTGGGCCAAGTTGGGGCAAGAAAGGCATTGACAGATGGATTTTCTGAAACTTGCGGGTGGCCGGCGGGACGGGCCGAAGCCCACTGGGGAGTTCTTTTAGAAAAAGAACCAAAACCAAAACCTGAAACATCCAGCACGCCGTGCACCCCTGTGGCAAGACCACAGGGGGCGGCGGATCGAAGACGCCTACGGCGAATCACCGCCGCCCCCTGCCTTTGTGGAAGCGCCTATGTGGCCGAACGTTGAGGCCAGACCTGCCAAGCCATCGGACCATGTGTTCCCCGAATCGGTTTGGAAAGGCTTCGGGGAACACGTGGGCGTCTTGATGGTCATCGTCGCCGTCTTGGAGGCCTCTTGGGCGATCTTTCGGCGATCTTTGGGGGCTCTTGGGCCGTCTCGGGCCGTCGGAAGGCCGAAAAAAGGGAAATGCCCAAATCCATCAAAAACCTTGGGAAAATCAGTGATTTTGGCATCTTTGGCCTTCCTGGAGGCCTCTTGGGGGCCTCTTGGGCCCTTTTGGGCCAGCTTCGAGCCAACTTCGGCCATCTTGGTGGGTTCCTGGCACGTCTGACGCCGTCGGGAGCCGTTTTTGGGGCCTTTCTGGGCCAACGGGGGACCCTCTTGGGGCGCTCCAGGGCCGTCTTGGAGGCCATCTTGGGCGTCTTGGAGGCCATCTTGGGCGTGTTGGAGGCCTCTTGGGCCGTCTTGGGGCCCTCTAGGGGCCATCTTGGAGGCCACTTGGGCCATCAGGGGGCTCTCTTGGGGGCCTCTTGGGCGATTTTGGGGGCTTCTTGGGCCGTCTTGAGCCGTCGGAGAGCCGAAAAGGCGCAAATGCCAAAATCCTTCAAAAACCAAAGGAAAAATCAATGATTTTGGCCTCTTCTGACTCTCCTGGAGGACCTCTTGGAGGCCTCTTGGGCCGTCTGGGAGGCCTCTGGGGGGCCTCTTGGGCCGTCTTGGGCCGTCTTGGACTCTCTTGGGCCGTTTTGGAGGCCGTCTTGGACCATCTCGGGCGGACTTGGAGGCCATCTGGGGCCATCTTCGCGATTTTTTGAGGATGTCCGAGCGAAACGCCGCTTTTGGTTGATTTTTTTCGATTGAGGTGTTTCGGGCTTTTTCTTTTTTTTTTTTTTTTTTTTAGTTCTTTCTTTTTTAATCCTGTGCATCACGGACCACGGCGGGACGGCGCCGAGCCCACTGGGGAGTTCTTTTGGAAAAAGAACCAAAACCAAAACCTGACAGCTCGTCCAGCACGCCGTGCACCCCTGCAAGCAGGGGGCGGCGGATCTCATGGCCTTCGGCCCATCCCGCCACCGTGCCTGGGTCATGGGTATAAGGCCTATTGGATGTTCGCTGGGATCTCGTGGGAGGCTTCTCGGGGGCCTCTTGGAGGCAGTTTGGACGCCCCTTGGAAGCCGTTTGGGAGACTCTTGGGGCCTCTTTTGGGCCTCTAGGGGGCCTCTTGGGGCCTCCTGGGCGCCTCCTGGGAGCCTCTTGGGGCGGAAGGCTCGGATTTTCGGTTCGTGTTCCCTCTTTTGGGCCGCTTGTGGGGCCGTCGTGGGGCCCTCTTTTGCCGCTTTGGGCGCCTCTTGGGCTGTCTTGGGGCCCTCTTGGGCAATTGTTGGGGGGCGGTCTTGGGGCCTCCAGGGCCGTCTGGGAGCGTCGGGGGGCCGAAAAGGCGAGAACGCCAAAATTTTTCAAAAACCTAAAGAAATCTCTGACTTGGCCTTTGGGCGCCTTCTTGGGGGGCCTCTTAGGAGCCTCTTTGGGCATCTTGGAGGCCTCTTGGGCTGTCTGGTGGCCATCTTGAGCGTCCTGGGGCGATCGTTCGGCGACTCGAGGCCGTCTTGGGCGGTCTTGAGGGCCTCTTGGGGCTATCCTGGCCTGTCTCGGGGCGCTCCTGGGCCCGAAGAAGTCACGCGACAAGATGCGGCGAGGCCTGCGGGAACCGCTCCAAGCCCCGGGAAATGTATGAATGCGGGCTCCAGGGCCTTAAAAACTCTTCAGGACTGAGGACTCAGGCTCAGGGGATTGGCCAAAGGACCTGAGGACACGCCCACTCCGTGCCCAGAGGCACTGTGGCGGATTGGGGGTCTACGCTCGGATCACTGCCCAGAAAAATGTTTCCTCCTCTTCAATCTTTCCTCCTGCGCCCGTTAAGAAGGGCGGGACGAGAAGTTTCTGGAGGCGGAGGAGGAGGTGGAGAGGGATGAGGCAGGAGGGAGGGAAGAGGGGGACGGGGGACGGTGGAGGGGGGAAAAGGTGGGCCGAGCCCACTCTGAACCCCCTTGGCTCCAAGGGATCCACAATCCTTTTCAAGACGCTGGCTCAAGCCGGATTGCATCAAGGTGTCCACGGGTCTGTTGATTCATCGAACTGCTACGGGCATTCACCCAGACATCTTCCGTCGTGTTTTTCACGACGTGGTTCCCATGGGTCTGGACCCCTTCGCAGCACCTGCTTTTCATCCTGAGTCGTTTTTTGATGGCCTTGGGGCTCGGTGAGGCCCTTGGAGGCGGAAGATCGACGCAAAATACGTCGCTTTCTTCCAGCCATGAGAGGATGCCTGGCAGCTCTCAGCCCGAGCGCCTTCATAACTGAACATGGCTCTCCGCGGGCTCCGCGCGATTACCGTGCCGCTCGGGATCGCGGCCCTGCTGGCGCCTGCCGCGGCAGGCCCGGCGGCTTGCGCGGACGCCGAGGAGGCCGACGACGTCGGCTTGCTCCAGTCCCCAGAGGACCGGCACGGGGACGGAAAGAGTGGGGGCCGGGGTTCGAGGAACGGGTTCAATGCAAACGGGGGTCAGCCAGAGCGCCAGATCTTGCCGGATCTTGCAGAGCCAGGGTTTGCATTGACCAGGGCTTGCGTGCAGGATCCTGCGGGATCTTGCAGAATCCTGCAAGGCCTGACTGACCCGGGTTTGGATTGACCCGGGCCAGGAAATCCCTGAGGGGGCCCCCAGTGGTACCGTTTTTGGGCTGCGCACAGGCGGCCCCCCCCGAGCAGCCCAGGCCGGCCTCAATGGCGACGGCGGCGGCGGCGGAGGACTGCTCGGGGGGCCTGTTTGGACCAGCAGGCACTGCCTGGGGGGGCTGTCTGCGCGCAACCCGAAGCCCCACCAGCCTCCTACCCAGACCCCCGACGTCGTGTTTTTTCGCCACGTCGACCCCCAGAGTTTTGAACCCCTTTCCCGGGACCAGCTTCTCATCCTAAGTCGTTTTTGATGGTCCCGGGGCCTGGTGAGGGCCCCTGCAGGCCGAAAATGGCGAAACATTGCCCTTCGTGTTTTTTTGTTCTCACATCGCGAGGGGGTCTGGGTATGATGGTGCGGTGACCACACCGCGTGGCGAGTCCGTGGGGATTCGGGCTGGCCGCACCGCTTCGGGTCTTGGGCCCGTTCTCCGAGGACGTCTTGGGCGACTGGGGCCTCCAGGGTCTCAAGACAGAGCGGTGGCGGACCGCGCGGTGGGGCCCTTCGGGCCTCGCGATGTCGAGGTCACCGCACGATCTGTCTCCACACATTTTTTTACATCCTTGGGTTATCGTCAGAACAATAACTCCTGCACGTAGCCGGCGCACGACGAAAATTGCCCGAGGGGGGCGAAAGAGAACGAGGGACGGGCCCCAGGAAACCACAGACAAGCGAGCGGAGGGACATGACCGAAGAAAGAGGCCACCGAAACAACGAGGGCCCGAAGGAGCAGACGCTCAGACACCGCGCTTGCCGCGATAGCGACAGCGATCAGAGCGAGCGCACGGCTCAGAGGGTATGTATAGAGAACGAGTTCGGCGCGAACTTGAACGGGGAGTTGTGGGGAGCGAGCCACACCTGTGCCACCGCGTGGCGTGCTGCCCACCACCTCGACGACGGGACACGATCCACGCCTCTATGAAGATCGCGGTCAGCACCCAGAGGAACAGCGCCCGAAGGAAGAGATTCAGGGTGATCTGCATCCTCATGGCCTTCGGGGCGTGCATCACGATCAGCAGGACAGAGACCATCATCAGGTTCACCTGCACATTCAAAAGGCTCGTGTACAGCATCTTGAGGTGGTTCCTCGCCCTGAAGATGACATTCAAAACCAGCAGCAGAAGCACCAAGTCCCTCGAGCCGCTTGGTAGCACCCTTGGCTACACATATAGAAGTCTCAAATTCAGACGGATGTGTGGCACAACCATCAAATTCTTCATCAACACGATGAGGCTCAGCTGCGCACTCAGAAGGCTCAAATTGCAGTCTTGAAGCGGAAGCTCGCCCTGATGATGATCTTCACCATAAGGCTCAGTTTCGCCACAAGGCTAGGCTCGCCCTCACCAAGCATCGAAGGCTTCGCGTCGCACATCAAGGCGCCCAACAGGTCGTCCACGATCTTCCTCTCTGAGCCGTACTGGCCGAAATACAACGCGTCACGAAACTGCTCGAGACTGATCACGCTAATGCCAATCGGCATCTTGGGCAGGACCGGCATGTCGCGCAGTGGCGCGTGCCGAGCCCAGTTGCTGTCATTGCAGGCTGCGGCGGCATACGCCCTGAGCTCGGGCGAAACGGCCCCAAGAAGCTCCGCAGCTGCAAGGGCGTCGCCCATCTTGGGATGGTGTCCGCCGATGGCGTCGCTCAAGTCCCAGTGGGTGGTCAGACCAGCGCGGAGCAAGACCATGCGCCACTGCAGCGCCTGAGCCCGTGGTACTCCAAGTTCACGACGATACTCGCGCCGACGGCGACGCGCGAGCGTCCTCGCACTCGCGGCAGCCCAGCGGCGTCCCGTGCTCTTGCTGAAGACGGCGTCGTCGTCCATCGCGGCCATTTGCGCGCTCGCGCCCGAGCAGGCGCGCTGGCGAGGGCCTCCCGAAGCGCGGCTCACTTGAGCCAAAATGGCTACGGACTCTACATTGTTTTCTGATCTCCAAGAAGTGGGGACGAACATCGGCAGCAGTTCCTGCCAGCTTTTGTCAGTGTTCGCTGTCGGAATCGCCGCGTACGTCGTAACCCTCGCCCAACGGCGGCCGCTGCCGGCTTGGGGCGGCACTTGTCGTTTGGCATCGTCCCGTTTTCGTTATCGTCCCAATTGCAGGCGCACAGGCAGTCGAAGGCGGATGTCCAGGAGGTGTTCCCGCAGTGCAAGATCGCGTTGCAAGCGTGTGGCTGCCTCGGCGCTACAGACACGTCGGTCATCCAGCCGACAGAGGCGATGTCGACGTTTGGGCCCGGGGTAAACACGACCGTTTTCAAGTTTACTTGCACCGACAGTGTTAACAGCTCTTGCCTCGTGTATAGCCCGCCAGGTCCCAAAATGCATTGTCTGGCACTGGATTCGTGTGACGGTGGACAGGTTGCTCCGTACAATATGAACTGCGTCGTCTTGAACAGAGGTTCGATGAAGTTCACGTGCTGTTCTGATTCAACCCCAGGGTGGCAAAGCTGCCCCAGTTGCAACGGTAACCCTTTTCGTTGAGCTTGTGAGTCCGACTTGCGGAGGCGGAGGAGGAGAGGAGGAGGAGATGGGAGGAAGAGGAGGAGGAGGAGGAGGAGGAGGACGGGGAGGGGGAGGAGGAGGAGCAGGGGGAGGAGGAGGAGGAGGACGAGGACGAGGATCACTGACCAAGCTGCCAGGACAGCGAGCGGGCCGCCTTTGGATAGTCCCTGAGCCAACTAGGGATTGTCAAGGGGGTGCACCCGTTACCTGGGGAAACCCCAACTCGCCGCCTGTTGTTGTCGATTGTTAACGAGGGCGAAACCTGGCTAGCAACCCACGATGCAACGCACTGGATGGAACAAAATAAGATTGACACTGCTGGGGCCTCACGAATGCTGCCGCATGTTGCCGAAGTTGTTACCCCACGTAGTGGGATTATTAGCCTAGTTTGCGCGCTGTGCTGGAGCCCGCGCCTGCGAATCCCCTCGCCTGCGGGCGCGCAGATGCAGCCTCAACTTAAGACGATCCTGGCGAGGTCCCCGCCTGGAGACGAACAGGAAAATTGAGTTCCCGTGATGCCGGCCCTAGCCTAAACACGTGCTGCTGTGCGGGTGCCAGGAATCCTGCCGTGACAAACTGGATGGAGCAGCATGTTGCCGAAGCTGTTATCCCACTTGGTGGGATTGTTAACCTAGCGCGCGCTCAATGCTGGAGCCCGCGCCTGCGAACCTCCTCGCCTGCGGGCGCGAATATGCAACTTCGACTGAGGACGAGCTGGGCGAGGTCCCCACCTGAAGACGAACAGGACAAGTTGAGCGGAGGCGCGCGCAGCGACCTAGCCTAAACAAGTGCGGCGCTGCGGATGCCAAGAATCCTGCCGTAATGTTGAGTCGGGCTGGCCGAAACAACGGACCGCGAGCAAGTTGGGCATGCCATGCAAAGCCTTCGCCCACAGTCCTAGCAGAATTCCCAGGACATCGCCTGACACCGCGCGGCCTGTAATCCTGGAGCTCCAGCCCTGTTTGTTGAGTCGGTCTGGCCGAAACAACGGGCCGCGGGTTAGTTGGGTATGCGGTTCATAGCCTTAGCCCACAGCCCCGGCAGAGTTCCAGCGATGCCGGCCCTAGCCTAAACACGCGCGGCTCTGCGGATGCCAGGAATCCTGCCGTGAATGTTGAGTCGGGTTGGCCGAAACTACGGACCGCGAGCTCGTTGGGTATGCTGCGCATCGCCTTAGCCCGCAGTCCTGGCAGAATTCCCAAAGGCCTAGAGAGGGGAGGAGGAGGAGGAGGAGGAGGAGGAGGAGGAGGAGGAGGAGGAGGATGGGAGGAGAGGAGGAGGAGGAGGAGAGGAGTAGGAGGAGGAGGAGGTAGGAGGAGGAGGAGGAGGAGCCAAAGACGCGTTCGACGGAGCTTGTGAATCCGACTTGCGCTCGGAGCACGGCTGCGTCGTGCTCCCTGCCCCGGCGCCAGGACGAGTTCCGTGGTTACCCTGTGGAGGAGGAGGAGGGAGGAGGAGGAGGAGGAGGAGGAGGAGGAGGAGGGAGAGGAGGAGGAGGAGGGAAGGAGGGAGGAGGTGGAGGGAAGAGAAGAGGCGGACGGAGGAGGAGGAGGAGGGAGGAGGAGGAGGAGAGGAGGAGGAAGAGGAGGAGGAGGAGGAGGAGGATGAGCAAAGAGACGAGGAGGAGGGAGGAGAAGGAGGAGGAGGACGAGGGGGGAGGACGGGGAGGAGGGGAGGAGGGGGGGAGGGCGAGGAGGGGGAGGGCGGGAGGAGTGGGAGGAGTGGGAGGAGGAGGAGGAGGACGGGGACGAGGAGAGGGAGGAGGAGGAGAGGGAGGAGGAGGAGGAGGAGGAGGAGGCGGAGAGGAGGAGGAGGGGAGGAGGAGGAGAGGAGGAGGAGGAAGAGGAGGTGCCAGTTTCTAATCTCAAACCCTCTGATCTCTTAGGGGGCTATTCAGGAATCGCGCGCGCCAGATGCCCTTGGCGAAGTTTCTTCGAGGTGCTTCGCAGATTCGTGCGACGCTCCTGCTCTGAATCTTGCGAGCGGCCTCCTCCTCCTCCTCCTCCTCCTCCTCCTCTTTCTCCTCCTCCTCCTCCTCGATCGTCGATCCTCCTCCCTGCCTCGATCCTGGGCCCCCCCCCTGGTTATTGCCTCCCTCCTCTTCGTCCTCGATCGTCGATCCTCCTCCCCGCCTCGGTCCTGGGCCGCTTCCACACCATGCACAGCTTCGGCGCTCGTGTGTTTCAAGGTCTGGACTTGGCGGTTTGGGTGAAGACCCTCTGCTGGTCGGACAACTCTTCGTTCTGGCGTTGCCGCGCTTACCTCTTCGCGGAAAACAGGTTCGTGCCAAGCTTGAATAGCCGAGAGGGCCGCATCGGTCGCGTATAGTAAAAAGCGCGCTCTGGAAAAGTGCCCTCGCGAGGACCGAAGGTCGGCGGTGCGGCGTTGCAGGGGGAGGGCAGGAAGAGGGGAGGGAAGGCTTTTTAGAAGGAGGCTGCCTCCTAGAAGGCGCGCGCCTTGTCTGCAGATGTCAGGGCCGTGCCTTCTAAGGGGCAGCCTCCTACTAAGAAGCCTTCTCCCCTCCTCCGACCCTCGGAGGACGCCAACAGTACACCACCACCAGCCCTGTCCAGCCCTGGCCAGGCCCATCCGGGACCCTGGACTGCCGTGTCGACCTCAAGGCCAAGGCCAGGGAGGAGGAGGAGGAAGAGGAGGAGGAGGAGTACCAGTCCAGGGCCCAGGATGGGCCTGGCCAGGGCTGGTGGTGGTGTATTGCTCCTGTACCTAGACTTGCGACGCCCCGTCTTTTGTTAACGCGCAGCCCCCGGAAGTCCCGACCATTTCCACTGGATTGGCTTGTCATCCTGAGTTGTTTTCTGACAGTAATGGGGCCCGGCGAGGGCCTTCAGAGGCCGAAAGCGGCGACACCACTTCACCCCAAATTTGTTCAACGCGATCATTCCTGGGCAATCTCCGTCTGCGCACCGCTAATACGAGACCGGCTTGGCCACTGGAGGAGGAGGAGAAGGAGGAGGAGGAGGAGGAGGAGGACGACGGCGACGACGAGGAGAAGGAGGAGGAGGAGGAGGAGGAGGAGGAGGAGAGAGACGGGGAGGGGAGGGAGAAGGAGGAGGAGCAGGAGGAGATGCGTAGCCATGTTGGCTCAAGGCCAAACGTTGTGAAGGGCTAAAGACGCCCGAGAACCACTAATTAGCGTTAGCCTGTCGGTGGCCACTCTCGAGCCCGCCAGGAAGCCAAGGCTTGTCTTTCTTTGCCACGGCGGGCGGCCCTGACCGCCGTGGCCACCAGCTTCCAGGGCAGACTCCGAGGCAAAGGGAGCGATGGCGCCAGCTTGGGCGTGCGGCGCGCGCGGGTTCTACAATTTCGGCCACCGCGCGACGTGCAAGCAGGCAGGACGCAAACGGTAGTCACCCGTCGGGCCCTACTCCGCAGGTCCAAGCCAGCTGGGGCAATCCGTAGTGGAACCCGTTCGGGCATTCGTTCAAAAATAATGGCAAAAAGGTTTCCTCAGCTTGTGGGGGGGGACCCAATGAAGGTCGCAAAGGAGGTGCTGACGGTGGGAAGGCCAACGCCAAGAAGGTTGGCCAAGCCCCGCCCAGGCGCGAGGTCACCGCGGAGGAGAAGGAGATGTGGCTCAACCTGTCGGAAGAGTCCTTCGCGCTCGCCTCGCAGTCCATCCCGAGGTGCCAGCGAGACTCTCTCGCGCATCAGCGCGCGCTGCGAGTCTACGGTCTGTCTGGGGCCCAGGCGGAGGCGGCGCAGATCAGCGCGTTCATCGGCAATTATTCGCAGCAGGTGGCCCACCTCAAGCAGAAGGTCGCTCGCCTGCAATCGCAGGCGCAGGCAGCGATCAAGGCGGCGGTCGAGGCGCAGGAGGAGTTGGACGACGCCCAGGAACAGCTCGAGGAGTCTTGGGGCCGCGGGAAGTCACTGGGCGCGCAGGGGGGGAGACCCCCACCCAGGCCCCGACGCCGCAGATGGAGGGGCCGCTCAAGAAGGCCACGAACGGCTTCGCCGGCGCCCTCCGAGAGGGCGAGGAGCAGGAGGCCGTGGCCTTGAGCGAGGCCTTCGCGGCTATGCGCGAGGCGATGGAGGCCGTCGTCAAGGCCGCCGCCCCGCCGAAGAGACCCCCGCCGCCGCCGCGCCCGCGGCAGGCGGTGGGGGCGCCGCGTCGGCGGGAGCGGCCGCGGGCGCAGGCGAGAAGCTGAGCGCGGCTTTTACTGCAGGGCGTCGCGCTGCTCGCGCTGAGCGCGCCGCTCGCGCAGGCGGAGAGTCGAGGCCAGATGATGCCGTCGTCGTCGAGAGCCCCTGGCAGGGGCCTCAGCCTGATCAGGGGGGCATCCGCATGACAGGAGGCGCAACAGCCTTGGGCAAGTCGGGGGAAGGCTTCCGCGGAGAATTCCAGGACAACCCTCGAGCCCAGACGTTCGCGCAGTTTTCGCTCCAGAAGGTCAAGGGGCAGTCGGGGCAGGAGAGCGACGAGGCCGCCAAGCTGATGGAGCGCAGCAGGAGCTCAATGAGGCTCTCAACGTGTTCCCGACGTCCTGAGCAGGGATTTTGCCACAGCCAACGTTGCCACTGGGCCAAGGTCCCCGTCTTTCCTTGACAAGGAGTGTCGGTCGCACGCGATCTTCTTACAAGAAACTATGGTCAGAAAATGAGACGCGGCTCAATCGCTTCACACTCTGGCCAATGTAGGTTGGAACGTTCGTTGTTGAACTTGCGGTGCGACCCAGTCCTAAGGGTTTTCGGCGGGGGTGGGTTTAGCCGTCCGCAAGAAGGCGGGCATGGGCAGCAATCCCATCCGAGCCCCGACCCCGCGGAGGCAGTTCGAGGAATGGGTCCACTTGAACATCGACGGGGTGATCGCCCAGTCTGGCATGCACGCCTGCAGAGTTGGGGGGAAAGGAGAGAGATCGATTGTTCGATTGCGTCGTCCGGTTTAGTGCCGTTCGTCTGGCGCTGCGCTCGATTGGTATATGCAGAGCTCTCAACCCGCGGCCCCGTCAGGCGGTCTCTGAAGACGCGCGCCCACCTGGGAATGATCTGGTGCTTGAAGACCCCGAAGAGGTGTCCTGAGCCCCCGATCGGGCCGGCTCGTCAGGCGCCAGGCTGACGGGGAGGAATGCAGGCGCAGCTTGAGTAGCTGCTGCGGGGGCCAGCAGTTTCGACCGCTCAGGCGAATCAGTCCCGCGCCACATTTCGAGAGGCGGCCATGCTCGAGCTCGCAGAGACATGCCAGTTGGAGCTGAGCGACTCCACGGGGAAGTTTTTTTCTGGCAGGGGCGACAGCTGCCTGTGCGCGCAGAGGCCCGCCAGTGTCAAGGTAGGTGGACCGCGCCCTCTTGGATCGCCGGCCACGCGAGCTCTCCGTAAGTTCCACGCCCGGCCTGGAGACTCGGGGCGCCTCTGGAGAGAAAGGCTGGGGGGTCGAGACCGCCAGGTGATGGACTTAAGCGAGAAGCTCCAGCGGGCCCCCTCGATCCATTGGCAGCCCCAGGCTCGACGGAAGGGGCGCGCCGGTAATTTTAGTTTTTCGGGGCGGCGCGACGGCCTCGTTCAGGGGCGCGCTACTTCAGCGCAGTAAGCTGATTCAGAACGAGGAGCCGTCTTGGGATAGGCATCGCCAGAAGAAGTGGAGAACGCGGGCCTCTGAAGCCGCGGTCAACGGGCGAAGTGCGGCGCGCGGGTGGGCGAAGGCCCCCGACGACTGGGCCCCGGATGACCCGGGCCCCGATAGGGCCCCAGGAGGAGCCGCGGACCAAACCGAGGATCTCGAGGCCGATTGCAAGGCGAGATGGGGGCGCGGTGAACTTGAAGACCCCGACCCAGGTTGGGCGGCAGCGCTGCCCCGGGAAGATCCCCCAGAGCCCCCCGAGCCCCAAGTTCCACGACAAATTCTACGGCAGCAGAGGAAGAGAACAGCTGTAGGCGCGCGCGGGTGGCCACCTCGCCTGCCGAAGCCCTTGGGTGATATGGGCTTCGAGCATGCGGTGCCCCATTTCATTCGTGGGAGAAGTTCGCTTGCCTGCCAGATCAGCCCATGCTGCTCGCGCCCCCCGCCCGGCAGATGCCCGAAGGAGGACGTCGCCCGATTGGCATTCCTCCGACGCCCGTGCGAGTTCTCGGCGGGCTTCGACGCCCAGGGGCAGATAGGTGGGAGGCGGTGAACCGCAAAGGGGTACATGTACGGCAGGAAGGAGAGCAGTTGCGAGATTGCTGCGTGGAAGCAAGCGATCAGGGACGAGGCAGTAGTCGCTGGCAAGATCTCCAGCGCCTGCACATTGATCGACGTAGAGAAAGAACATGAAAGAATGATGCGCCAGTTGTTTGCGCGCTCGTGTCTCAAGCATGGTTTCAGCATCAGGCGACTTCAAGTGCTCCTCTTAGTGCGCGGAGGCCCTCGCTGCATCAATGCAGGCGAGGCCCTTCCCTTCCCCTTCGCGGTCAACGGCGGCATTGTAGCAGGTTGTTCCTTCGCCACTGCGGTTTTGAAGATTATGCTGAAGAGCGCGCGCGGTTATTTTATGAGTGGATGGCGAGGCTGGGTTTAGCTTTCATGGTTGATGATTTTACCATGCAAGCCCCGGGATATCTGGGGTACGTAAAGAAGGCCCTCGTCGGCGGGGCGCTGAGGCAATGTCGCGGGCTCGAACGTTCGGGGCTCAAGTTTCCCAGGCAGGATTGCACAATCGCAGCTTCAGACATCCAGCTCGGCCGTGTTCTTCGGCATGCTATGCGAGAATTCGTTTTCAAGTATGTTCCCGCGGCCAAGAACCTCGAGGTTTATTTTGAGCTCGCCTTTGACAAAGGAAGGCAGGTGACTCACAAGCGAATCGTCACGCAATGGGCGAGTCCGACGATGCCGAGCGCCCCGCTTCCCGAAGCAACCGATTCCGCGAGTTTTCAGAGGGGGGAACGCCAGTTGCAATGCACGGGGCCGGGGTGGCGGGGATGCCCCACGCTTTCCCCCAGACGCAGCGGATCGCGACGGCCGCCCAATTTTGCCCCAGCGAAAGGAAGGAGCAGGGCAGCGCAGCTCTTGCTCGCGGAGGTGCCGCAGGTGGACTCCTCGTT